CAATTGAAATGATTTCTTTTGTTTGTCTGTGAGACATAAAGAACATTAATAAATGAATTACCGACTTTACTTAAACCGATTATTAAGTAACAATCTCGATTTGGTTATGGATTACTAATAAAATGCATGACTGATGGAATAAAAAAAAAAAAAAAAAAAAGAGGAAAACACGGAATGCGAAAAATCGAAAATCTTTATTTCATGATTTTCATTACTATATTCAGTTCACAGAATCATGTTTTCTCCATCAATTTCATCCAAAGAAAAACAAGAACTTTATTCCAAAATTTCCCTTTCCTTTTCTCTTATTTTCTCGTCGACCAATCAGTATCGGAAAAAAAGAAAAAGAAAAGGAAAATACGGAATGCAAAAAATCGAAAATCTTTATTTCATTATTTTCATTACTATATTCACAGAATCATGTTTTCTCCATCAATTTCATCCAAAGAAAAACAAGAACATATCTTTTATTCACATAAAGACGAGCTTCACTCACGGTTCAGAGTAGTAGTGGAAATGGCTGAGGAGAAAAAGGCAGGTTAGTGGTGGTTGGTGGTTGCGGAGGCGAAGAGCCAAGTTAATGGTGGTTGCGGAGTGGACGGTGGTGGTGGTTGTGTTGACGATGAACGAGATAAGCAGGGCGACATGTCTTGCGATGTGCATCTCTGTTCTTCCAGGGGATCGGTTTGCCACAGGTCCGGCAGTTGGAGGTAAGATCAGGAGCGCTAGCGGCGACATCTCTGGAGGGAGCAACTTTTCTGCTGTTGTTACGGCCCATATTGAAGGAGGGAGGTGGAGTTGGAGGAAGAGGAGGCTAGGGATTGGAAAAGTAGTTTATATATTATGAAGGGAAGAGGGTGGGAGGGGAAGAGGAGAGGGCAGGTCCGTTTTTGAAGTTAGTTACTTTTGGCGGGATAAAAATACTACTTAATTAATTAATTAATTAATTAATTTTTTTAAAGACTTTGGCAAAGAGTATCATTTCTTGACAAATCCCTATTTCTGTACCGTCCTGCATAACCAGAGAATATACATGTTATGAATTTGGGTATATTATTTGATTAATGACGGGTGTGCACCCCCACATAATAAAAAAAAAAATGGTATGCACCCGGATTAATTTTTTTTTTTTATGGGGGATGTGCACACCCGGGTGTTGGATCTGAGTGTACACACATCATTTTCCTATTTGATTACCTGGTTGATCACTTTGTAGCCTCTGGATGCAGCATCTCAGTTGTGCCAACAAGTGCATTTGGGAAAACCAAAGGACTTTTTAAGACCCTAAAGGGGACTTTGAATGTTGCATTCTGCTGACCTTAAAAAACCCTGTGATCTGGGTACGTAGGTTATTATTTTATAGCTTTTTTTTCTAGTGCTGAGGATAGAATTTTGATATACTGCGATATACAATATTTGATCAGCTAAACTAGGATGCATACTGTATTAGTTTTGGTATCTCTTTGTATTGTTTTATGGCCTTTTGTTGTTATCTTGTGCTGAGGATAGAATTGTGACATAGCAGAAATTCTATTGTAGAATTTGAGTATTCTCCAAATCCAAATGAAATTAGAATCTGTAATGAAATACAGTATGTCAATTTGCTATGAAGATATAGGAGTGACTTTCAGTTTCTCTATTTGTTGGATACTTGTTTTTTTTTGTAAGCCGTTTATTGCGTACTTGTGAAAATGCCATAGGGTAGAAGGTGTTCAAATCATATGACAAAAAGCAATAGTGAATGAAAAAACTATTCACTTATTGAAACAATGATATTTCCTATAATGCTGAAAATTTCCTTTTAGCAACCTGAGATAATTTTTCCTATAATGCTAAAAGTTTCTTTCTACAATTTGCTTAACTCCTTTAAGAAACTTACAATATTTGTTTTTTTATAGCTGTTTGTTTAAACAATTAGAATATATGATTATTTTTCTTATAATGCTTGGATTTTGAATAAAATGCCCATCACCATCATCAACCCCCATTCCAAGTGTCTTCATATTAGCTATAATTAAGTAGAACCATATCTTGTGATTTCAGGTCTGTGTGCTACCTATTTGATTGATTAATTATGTTTCAAGGTCATTAGATAACTAATCTTGCAGTACCTCTGTTTGTTTTATTTTCCCCCCTTTTTAATTTAATTTTTAGCACTACCTCTGTTTTGTTAGAATTGAGCTTTCTCCTTGCTAGCATAATACCTTTGACCTCATGAAGTTGAGGACTTCTTATCTAATGCTCCAGAAAGGTATTACAGATCCCCATGAAATGCATTCAAGTTTAACCTCTGGTAGAAAACATGTGTGATGAGACTTTTATCTTTTGGACTATAATATGCAATGTAATGCTTGAGATTTTCTGTTTAATTTCAGTGCTTAAAATGTTGCCCCATGTAAGGATGCTGTAGAAATAGATGCACCAGGAGGGCTATCACTTGATGCATTTTTTATTGGAGGTATTAAGAGACTAGAAGTGATGTCATTCTCTTAATTTTGTTTCTGTACCAGCATTATTGAGTAGTTTCACTATGTTACCAATGTAAACATCTCTGACCTCAATGCCACATGCAGCATGTGTATCGAAATGCAAATGCAGTTTGAAGGCATGAGGCTTGGTTATTTGAGATTATGGGCTTGTTTCCTCTAAGTTTCTGTTTTATTGAGTAGTTTTATTCTCCTGTAACATATATGTATATCATTTATAACGTGTTTCATACTGCAGTCAGCCCTCATGACGCTTCTAGACTCAGCTCATGCCAGTGGAGAATTTGATGTGTATTTGGTATCCTCATCAGTGTTACCATGAGGAGAAACCCAGATCACAAGAAGCAACAATCAGGAATGATTGTTTTCTAGTGCTTGTTTTCAGGCCAAAGAATGCTGAAAAGTCTTCCTTACTAAATTCTTTTCTTGGAAGTTCTGTAACCAGATTTCATCTTTGATGATTCAACAAATAATTGTTCAACTCAGATCATATTCTCTCTTTCCTAAAAGAAATTTATTAACTTATGATTGTAATGCAGACTGTATTCTGATGCTTATACTTTGACCACTGATGAGCTTTATGCAGTGAATGTTGTTGAACTACACGGGGTAAGTGCTAACACAACTTGATATATGTTGGGTACCCCCATCAGTGTCCTCTGGATGTATATAGACAACGGCACACACAACTGCACCTATATTGTTGCATATGCAGGTTGTATAAACATTCTTGCATGCCTTTTTTATTGTTACTTTCTGTTGTTGGTATTACCTTTTGGGGGGGTTGGGGGAGGTGTTGTGAAAGGAACATATAGGCAAGGAATGCTTTTGGCTTATAAAAATGTGTACTACTTTCTTCTTATTATATTTTGTTGATGACAGAATTGTTTTAGAACTCTTTTAAACTTTGGCCTGGTCCTTCATTGTTCTTAACTTATTAGACCTGTCTTGCACTCTCTTTTTTTCTGTAAATTATTTTCATATGTTCTTGGATTTAGAACTTAAATGGTTACTTAATTGCTGCTTATTTGTGGATAGTAATGCTATTGAACATGGTTTATTTATTCTTTTATTAGCAGTAGTGAAGAAAACTCTTGTGTTGTGAGAAATCCCAGAAGATAGAGTTGGAAAACTACTACATCTAATAAAGAGTCATTTGCTGCCTGTGATATAGCAGTATTTGTATATGACCTGTAAACTAGGGCCATGAATGTTAAATAGATACTTTTCAACTTCATATGGTGCAATTTTTAGAATCAAAGAATTCAAGTTGTGCAAATTTTAGTTTTTTTTTTTTTTTCCTGGCCATCCTGGGAATTGTAGTTTATTTTTATTTATTTATTTTTTATCTTCTTCTTCTTTTTAGTTCAGATGAGTTTTCATGGAAGAAAGCAACTAAATTACTGGTGAATCTTGCCACTCATGGTGAACACACTATTTATGAGTGTGTCATGCCTCATTGTTGCAGCAGAAGATTATATAGATTCCTTTCCAATGGCGATACAAGATCTACCAGGGTGAGAGACTATTTCTGCAATTTATGTTAGCAGCAATTAAAGTGACACATAGAATCAGTTGAGGATACCTTTTCCATTATGCTTTTAATTGGATGGTTTTTTTCCTTTATCAATAATTTTACTGTGTTTGTTGTTAAAATTCACTTGGTTCATTTATTTAAAGTTCTAGATGACATTCTTCTCTGACTGATAATCTTCCATGTTTGCATATTTTAACTTAACCACGGATTGGTGAACTTACAAGTTGAATTTTATCATCATTTGCAATTTTAGACTTCACTTGTTAGGCAATTACTAACCACTCTTCCAATTATCTTCCTTTTCATATTAACTAAACTATATACGAGTAGAACATGTCATGTGATTGTTGCTTTGTCTATCATAGTCTATGCTATCTTTTTTTCTTTTTAATTTGATTTTCAGCAGTAAGACCTATGTTTACAGAGATTTTTGGATTTGGAAAACTAAGTGAGAGAAGAAAGCTGGGATCATCAAAGTTGACATTTTTTTTTCTTCTTTTTAGCTGGAAATTTAAGAAGCTGTTGATTCTGTTTCTCTGGACCACCTAAAATTGCTTTTAAACAAATCAAACAATTTGGAAATTAAGACTTAGAGCAGGTGCTTCCTCTTCAGCCACCAGTTACCATAATTTACTTTTATTTTTACTTTTAGCTTCACTGGTTAAAGGATGGTTCTCCTGATATAGTCTTGTGTATACAATTTTTTGTTATATATTTCTGTCTGACGTTCTACTTTCTATGGATAAATCAGCCCCCAGGATAAACTAGATGGGGAGCTGATGCGTTCTGATGCGTTGAGTACTTTCTAGCATCCAGAACTTTGCCAGTTAGAGGTTTCAACCTCAATTTGCCCTCCCTTTTTTTTTCTATATATTTATAATTAGTTTCATTGTTTCTGTGGAAAAATATATCTAGGGAAACTAGATTTGTAAAAAATACAGTTTGAAGGGGAATGTCTAATTTTTTTAATCTGATTTTTATTTTGGTAAACTTAACCTGACTGACCATTTCTGCTTTTTGTTTATTTATTTATTCAGAAAAAGTTCTTGCAGAAACAATATTGTAATGCATGTAACTGAATTTTGTTGAGCAGGTGATGGTGCTGGTCTTGCATGCAACAATTCCTGGAGATTGAAAGCTGAATATGATGTTGTGCATTTAAAGAGATTCAGGCACATATTTAGACCTTTTGTTGACAGGATTTCTATTTCTTCTTGCACTATTTATAGGGAAGAGCTAATTCCATATTCTTCCTTTAAGCAAGCGCCTGATCAGGTAATGGCTTATGGAGGTAAAAGGTAGTTCTTGCATTTACAAAATTACTCAAAATACTAAAATGTAGATTGTTCAACCTAGAAGAACATGCCTTATTACAAAATAATATTCATTTGTGATTATAGAACTGGATGAACCATGCCTCTCAAATGCAATTTAACCAGGTCTGATTAATGATGTCAGCATGCAAGATTCTGTTTTAAACTGGCATTCTTTTTCTGTTTATCTCCTGTGTAGAGTGTGGAGATGACAAGTGATGAAATCAAGTTCTTAGAGGGACATTTTGAATTGTTGACACTGATTGTGTATGTATTATTTCTTTCCTTATTATTAAGTTCTCAATCTGTTTCCATGGCCTCTACTATAATCTAGTTTACAAAGATCTGATTAGCCATATGTTTGTGCAATTTCTCAATTACGGAAATAACCTTCAATCTCATTATGTCGAGGACTTCTTTTCTAAAGCCATTGATAGCTACTCTGCTAGTTGAGCAAAGTAGAAAGACTTTCTGGTATAATAGATCCCCATAAACTAGGGCCATGATTATTAAATACATTATTTTCAACTTTATAAAGGACAATTTTTTAAATCAAGCATTCATGTTTTTAGGGAATTGTAGTTTATTACTGCTATTTCAGAGTTGTTTATCGTCTGTCTTTTGCAGTTCTGACAAGTCTTCATGGAAGAGTGTGAGTTATTGAGTTGCTGGTGGAGTTGAATGTTGCCTCCCATGGTGAAGATGCTGGTTATGACTTATGAGGTACCATGCCTCTTTGTTGGCATTGTTTGCATCAAAAGGTGATCTACTAGACTCCTTTCCAAAAGTGATACAAAGTTCTTGAATTGATAATGTTCCATGTTTACACATATTTTAACTTTAATCGTGGATTGATTAACTTACAAGTTGAATTTTAGTATCAGTTGCAATTTTGACTTCACTTGTTAGGCAATTTACCAACCAAATGTAATCCTTGGTTAAACTGGGATGTCCAGTTAACTCCTTATGTTTATTTTGCCTTGAAGCAATCCTCTATTCCTGTAAATTGAAACATGATAATTTATGACTGTTGACCTCATAGTAATGTGAAAGTCTTCCCTTTCTCTCTTTTACATTGTAAGTCAAGACATGGGAATATTGGCGCCTATTCTCTTCAGCTCAAAGTTGGGTGTTTCCAGTTGTCTTCAACATTGAACCACTTGAGATATGGTAAGGTTTCCTCGTAATTCTGCCGTGTCCTGTCTGTCAATATGATTGGATGTGTATTGTCTATTTTATAAATGTATGGTACATTTTATTTTATTTTTTGGTACTAACCTGTCAGTATCCGGTAGTCACATTAGGTTTCGATTAATTCAAAATTGAGTCACATAAGACTCAATTAGGGAAGAAGTTCTCTCAGTGCCTGTTTCTTCATTCACAAAACTCAAACTCGAGATCTTACTTAAGAGAAACCGTATTCATTCCACTTGAACTAACAGGTAGTTGGTAGTACATTTTATTTTATTTTTTGGTACTAACCTGTCAGTATTCGGTAGTTACATTAGGTTTCGACTAATTTAAAATTGAGTCACATCAGATCCAATTAGGGGAGAAGTTCTCCCAGTGCCTGTTTCTTCATTTACAAAACTCAAACTCGAGATCTTACTTAAGAGAAACCGTATTCATTCCACTTGAGCTAACAGGTAGTTGGTAATACATTTTATTTTATGAATTAAAAGCTTTTATGACTTTAAATTTCACCTCCCAGCATGAATTTCTGACAAGGTACATTATGTACCTTTCTCTTCCTCTGCCTGCTTGTCGTGTAGCAATTTTCACCCGTTCACCTCATGATCATATGTTTGAAAGTGTATAGTGGTATTCTTGTCCCATGCAACTATTAACTACAATTTGCAAATTTCAGGTCTTTGAACGTGAAAAGAAGCTTAACAACTGATTATTGCGAGAGCTTGGAAGGTTTGATCTAACCGGTAATCCCCACCTGCACAAGTTTTTAACCATAACATAATACCTTCCATCACAAGTCTTACTACTAGCTACAGAAGAATAAGTTGGTAAGAGACATATGTCTGCCCTCCGTCAATGATTGACTGATTACAAAACAATATTCTTTATTAGAAAATAATAAAAATAGAGTCAAAATCTATTTATATATAATTTTATATATTATATTTATACAAAATTTTAATAATTTATTTTTCATTTTTAATGGTTGAGATTTAGTATAGCTTTTTAAACAAAAAAATAATTATTTCTAATAAATATGATTAAAAGTGAATAAATTTTAACCATTAAAAGTAGAGAGATTAATAGTTAAGATTTTGTATAAATGTAGTGTATAAAATTAATGTGTAAAATTAGTAAAAACATATCTTAAGTTCTTAACTCATAAAAAGAAAGGGAACATTGGACTCATTATTCATTTATCAAAATAGACGATTGAATTTGTTGATATGATAAAAAAAAAATACATGGTAATTAATGGAATTGATATTTTAGTCAAAGCAAAATTTCTTAAATAAGCGGCATGACCCAGTCAGCAGATAGACGCCATGGTGACCTTTTTAGATTCGGACAAGGTAAAGAAACAGCAATGCTCTTTTCTTCAAGATCAAATGCATAAAGGCTTAGATCATTATGTTGTATGAAGTAGATGGTGTTACCCTTGATTCCCGATTTGCTTCCCCAACACCAAGCCTTTGAAGTGGGGCTCAAGAAGAAGGCTAGGTCTCCAATATTCTCCACCATCTCCCAAACCTTCAGATCAACATTCAATCTATAAATTATGAAATCATCAATTTGAACATCCTCTTGCAAGTTCAGAAGATGACATATCTGTTGGATGAGGAACAAGTCTCCTCCTACGTCAATTAGCTTTGTGAAAGTCCATCTACAAGTTCCTCGTTTGCGTGGTGGAAGTCTGCCAATCCCTTGATGTGTAAATCTAAGATCAGGTTTTACCTCAACCAAAACAAAATTTCCAGAAGAGTTGAGCAAGTAAATCCTTCCATCAAAGCAAGTTGCACTTATGATCAGTTGCCCTCGATCTTCAACAGGCTCGCGTTTGAGTTCGACCCAGTTATGGTCGCCAGGATGACAGAATCTAAAGCTCATATTGACACTTATAAAGACACCCGATCTTCTGATAGTCTCACAGGTGATGAAGAGAACGAGACAGTTGGGTTGTTCAGGAGGCGACGTGAGCAAGCAGAAGTTATAATCCAAGGAATATGACGGAAGTTGGATTTTCTGCATGGAAACTGGATTTAGCAGGAAACAATCATGAGATTGGTCATCACCCAAAACCAGCCAACCAAAGGATGATGTGCATATCTCCTTTCCGCGCATCTGCGGAATGCTCTTAACGTGATAACGGCCTTCTGATACGTTAAAAAAGGTCTGGTTTTCATCCTTCTTTCCATGGACCTGAACAAGCCATGGATCCTTGCGAGCAAGCGGAGGGCGGAGTCTCAAGGCTTGACTTGGTTGCTTCACCTCCATTATGTTGAAGACAGCAAGAACACAACTCGGGCCGTTTAGGATGGATCTGCGCAAACACAATGCAAGGTTTTAATTTGCTTCGGAAAAGTCTATACACCGATATGCATGATGTTGAAACCCTTAACCTTATATATAGAAATTGAAGTTATATTTAGATTAGTATTTGTATTTTACTTATTCTCAAAGTAGGATTTGTGTTTGATTTATCGAACCTTAGTTTCTTTCTTATAATAATAAATGAGAATAATTATATGTCAAGACAAGAAAATTTATAAAAAATTATTATTTTATTATTATTATTATTATTTAAAAAATTGAATCTTACTTAACAAAAAATAAATAAATTTTTTTATCAATTAAGTGACAACTCTTTAAGAAATTGAATTTGATTTATCGAACCTTAGTTTCTTTCTTATAATAATAAA